ACCAAGGACACAGTCATGTGGTGAGGAAGTCCCAGAGGACCGTGGGACTTAGGGGTCGGGCCTGTGGGCCTCGATCCAGTGGCAGTGTTGGCAAACACGGCCAGGGGCAGAAAGGGACTTGGTAGGAACTGACAAAGGGACTTTGGGGAAGGCAATTCCCCAGGTCTGTGGGCATCCTAAGGATGTTAAGGAGTGGATCTAGGATGACCCCTTGTGGACACATGGCCTAGTCTTGGAGAGACGAGGTGGTGATGCAAGTGGTGTTGAACCACTAGTGCAGCAAAGGTGAATGGGCATGGCTTTAGCGTAACGGGCCGAGATGTCAGTGGTACCTTTGGGTGTCGGTCTCAGGACCGGACACGTGGAGCACTTGGACCAGGTGCAAGTGTGGAGTGGCATGGATGCCATTCTTGGGGCTAGCAAGTCCCAAATCCTGAATTGGATTGATGGAGGTTGTGAATGAGACTCCTCCAAGTGGTCGGAGGTGTGGTTAAGTGACTAAAGTAGAATGGAAAAATTAGTCGCTTACACCAAGCCTCTAGGAATGAGTGAGGACTAATGAACTTTATAATACTTAAATGGGGTACCATTTCATTTGAGTCAAGAACATTGCAATTGCTTTCCCTTCTAGAAATGGGAATTACTCTTGAGCACTTGGTGAACTAACGATTTTTCCCTAAATGATCCAGGAGATCAGTAGTGTGAAGAAGAGGGTATTATTACTTCATTTAATGAATGATAATTGATTAAAAAAATGAATACTCCCATTAGGCTTCATCATAAAATGAGGTTCACACTCTCAAGGACTCCATAACTTTCAAATAACACTTTTTTCTAGCATCTCCTTAATGTTTATATGTAAAATTTTGATCTCTTTTGGTGATCGATAACGAATAAAAACTTTAATTAGACGAGCATCCTTGATTGGAATAAGATGATATGTTACAATCTTGGCCCTAGATGACAAATCACATTCAATTATATCAACATACTCCTTCATGAGTTGGTCAACTCCTTGTAAGCGACTAAATTTTCCATTCTACTTTAGTCACTTAACCACACCTCCGACCACTTGAAAGAGTCTCATTCACAACCTCCATAAATCCAATTCAGGACTTGGGACTTGTTAGCCCCAAGAATGGCATCCATGCCACTCAACCGTTGCACTTGGTCCAAGTGCTCCACGTGTCCGATCCCATGACCGACACTCAAAGGTACCACCGACATAGCAGCCTGTTACACTAAGGCCATGCCCAATCACCTTTGCCGCATTGGTAGTCCAATACCACTTGCAACACAGTCTTGTCCCTCCAAGACTGGGCCAACCATCCGTGAGTGGTCATCCCAGATCCACTCCTTATCATCCTTAGGATGCCCACCGACAAGGGGAATAGCCTTCCCCAATATCCCTCTGCCAATCCCCACTAAGTCCCTTTTTGCCCTTGGCCGTGTTTGCCAACACTGCCACTGGATTGAGGCCCACAGGCCTTACCACTAAGTCCCATGGTCCTCTGGGACTTCCTCACCACGTGACCGTATCCTTGGCCACTACACCAAAGGACTGCTCCTTTTCCTTTCCACAGTCTGGGACTTGGGGACAACACTTCGGAACACCGTGGCCTTACGCGAGCCACCTGGGTAATCTCCCTGCCTTCCGCTTTTGGGTGCTCTAGCCATGGGCTTAGAGCGAGGTTCCATTGAGCCACGCCTAGTATCCAAGTAGGTAGTGCCACCCACACTTGGACTGGGAGCATCGGCTAGTCGATCTCCCGGGGGAACTAGAGCCGGCTCTTGAACACTTCACCAAGATACCCCGCTTGTCGGTCCGTATTCACTCTAGTCTTGGACTTCCCAGTGGTCAGTTCATCACCCAACACTGGGTCTGGCCTTCCTGGGCCAAACTGGCATTTCCTGGCCAAACTGGCTCCACTCCCCCTTACTATACTTTTGGAGCTCACCAAACCCCCCAGGGTCTGGGAGACGAACGC